GTCTTGCTCTCCAATGAATATAAATACAAATATTAATTCCTTTGTTATAACAGTACTGGAGTGAGCATTCCAAAGGACTGGGGAATGGTTAGGAGGCAAACGTAAGCCAAGGTGTGAAACCGATCAGCCGTGTCAGTTTCACTTGTCAATTTCAACCCTGAAATCCAGTTCTGATCACACGATTTCTCCACTTAGCAGCCGTGACTCGCTGGTTCCTAATTGTGGTTGCTAAACAAGGGTTCACAGACAAATGCGCAATAGCCATATGCGTGCCGACAAAACCACGATGACAAAACCGTGATGTCAAAATCGCGCCCACAAAATTGCGCCGACAAATGCGCGCTGACAAATGCGTGCTGACAAATGCACGCCGACAAAATCGCGTCATCAACAAACTAAATAGTGGGACGCGTATATGTACGTTATAACCCTAATTGTGCTTGTCATTGCGCTTTTGTCGGCGTGCATTTGTCAGCGTGATTTTGACATCGCGGTTTTGTCGTTGCGGTTTTGTCCTTGCCCTTATGGCTATCGCGCAATTGTTGGGTCACACTAAACAAGGACTACCTGTATTAAACTGAAAAGAATAAAACGGTGTTTCATGAAACTGCTGTCCGAATGTTGGATCAATCCACATTTAAAATAACAACATGGAATTAGAAATACTTTCCCCCCTCTTTCAAATGTTACAGATCTTGCAACCGTAGTTGGCTATTTGGTTGTTAGCCGCCCGTTTCTAGACCTGTCCCATCCTCGTCATCAGAGTAGCAACCATGCTGAACTTTTGGAGGTGAGTAATATATTTGCTGCAGTAGTTATAATAAATGACACACATATTGCTTGTTGGGTTTTGAGAGAAAAACCTATATTTCATTGTTTTAAGGATTACTACCAAAGTGGAAGAATGCTACTGAGAATGTCTCAAGCCCTTGGCAGAATAGTCCTAGCGGGTCGTGAGATGACTCGATTGGCTGGGTAAGTGCCAAGTACAAGCAACTAGAGCCGTAAATAGTTGAAGTAAACAATTTTATTGACTTCTATCTGTGTTATAAGAATCTGCCCAGACTGGTCAGCTTCCTCAGGAACAGCCAGATAAGATTGTTGAGGGAGATCAAGCTTAGCTGTGCAAGAATTCTAAGCTAGATCCTCGCTTCCAGCCTGGCCAGTAGTTTCCCAACAGTAATCTTAACCAATAAGTGCAATCCCATTTTCATTCATAAAATAAATGTATTTTATCCTCCTTGTTAGCCCCAAATCAGTATTAATTTCTAATTATGAGATAACTAAGATCAATTTGATGGTTTTTAGGGAGGGAGGGAGGTTTGACGAGGGGTGTTAAATTTTAATGTAATATGATTGCACACGTATACTGTCTTCTCTTATTTTTTATTTAAAACTAGGATATGTTAAGTATATTGTTAAGAAAGAATAAATACCAAAAAAATAGTTGGGAGTTTGCTCAGAAGTGGAAATACACCAAT